CTCTCTCTCTCTCTCTCTCTCTCTCTCTCCCCCACATATCTCGTACTGTTCGCACACAGTGTGGCTTCGTAAAATTATAATGGTGGTTCAAGTCAGCCCGAGCCAAAGCTATAAAAGCTAGTTGGTTCAGGTAGATAAACGGAGAAAGTAAAAATGAAAGTAGCAGTTGGCTATTTAACTGGCCGATATTCAGTATCTAGGACCTTTAACTATTTAAATTCTGTACTCAGCGGCAAGAGGGAGAACAACAGGTGCAGTCTTCAATGAGTGGATTATACAGAGGGTCTAATAATGATTATTCCAGAAAAAAAATTTTTCACCCGATGACTCAACGACAACTTTCGATCGAATAGCTGTAAACCACGGGTCTTACTAATTAAATTAACATCACTGAGTCTAAACATAATTTATTATTTAACAAACATTATACAAACGATAAGTGTGCGCAAACGTTTCATAAAAATGTATTTCAAATGAATAGTCTTAAGTACAATTTGAAATTATTATTTTTTTCTGCAAATTTTAAATAATTTATTTGCTTACCTAAATTTTATCGCTATATGCAAATGTGATTAACTTTCCGGTAATATATCCTGAATTTCTAAACATTATGAACCTCTACGTAAAATAGAAAAATTAAATTAAAAAGCATGTAATACTGATAAATAGAAAAATAAGTAAAAAAGTATATATAACAAAATTGCAGAAATTCCCTTGTGAATGATTTTTTTTTTCTTTTCAAATATATCTTTCCTTATAATTATGAAGATTTTATAATAACTTATTATTATTCAAATAAAACCTGATTCACCGTGTCAATTATTGGTGATTGCATGATAGCTTCGAGTACTTACTCCTCGACATATAAATGCATCCTTTCTCAATATAATTAATATCATAACATTGGTTGATAAGTATTATAAATTTTAACTATTCTCGTTTTTTTTTCGGGCACATTTTTTAAATTTTTGTAGCTTTACTAATTTCTAACATATAATCTAGATATAATTTTTAAATCCTTTAATACGAATACGTAAATTTGAAGTAAGCATTTCTTTACATTGATAGATCTTTTGTAATAGAATATTGAACAACAAATGACAAGTATAATCTTATTTAAAGAATTTTATATAAATAAATATTAAAGAATTCTTTATTATCGATATTGTCTTATACAATTGATAATTATAAAGTTAATTTTTTTCACCAAATATATAATTACTGATGTGACGACAACAATTCGGCATGTTTCTTTAGTCAAGTAAAAATTAAATTGTTCTAATTTATATTTATTAAATAAATGTAAAATTACTGTTTTAATTTATTAAAATAAGCTTTTAAACATTTATTTTACTTTATACGTATTTCTTAGCATGATCCACAAGCAAATTATTAATATGCAAATTTTTACATATTGAGTTATAAAGGGGTTATAAATGGAAAATTATTAATCTATATTACCTGAATAAATAATATTATGCATTTTAAGATTATTATTTTTACAATTTTATTCATTGTTTATCAAGGTTGCCATATGTATATTGCAAATAACGTATTTTTCATTTTTCATTTCCTATATTAAACGGAAAATCTTAGTGTAAGTATTCACGGACATTATTTTCAATATTACAAACAGAATTATCATCACTATTTTACCATAATAAAAGATTTCAAATGCACTAAAATTAAGTGTAATTTCTAATTTGTATTTAATAAGCTTATGATAATCTTTTTTTTCTATATATAAATTGAAATAGCATAAATTTTTTATATATTTTTATATGTGTTTTTAAGTAAATCGTCTTACAATACTTTAACTTTTACATAGTAAAAGTTGCTGTAAAAATACAATGTATTTTTTATCAAATTGATTTTTTTACAAATTTATTTATCCATTTATTTATATCTATACTTAAAATATCAACATTTTTCGTATGGAATTAATGGTTACATTTAATAGTATCCGTACAAAATATTTATTTTTAATTATACAAAAACAAAATGAAGATAAACTAATAACTATCTGTGATATAAAAACAAACTATTAACAAATGTGTCTTCAATCTTAAAGTCCTTTAAATAAAAATGCAAATTCATTTATACCTAATATAAAATATTAAATTTTATCAATAAATTAGAATAGTAATAAGTGTGAGGAAGCAATATTCTATTAATTAGGATATTTATGTAATCGTAAAAATAAAAAAATTAAACAATTGCAGAATCAAAGAGACTTATAAAACTGACGAAAAAATTTAAATATTTTTTTGATTTATAAAATTAAATTCTGTTTTTATAATACAGCATACATGTGGTGAGCACAGATAAGGAACTAGAAACGACCGCTCATTGTTGAACATACTAACGAACATGATCGTTGATTGCATTTGGAAACTGTTAATGATTTTTTTTTTTAAAGAGAGAGGTGAATTTCATATCAAAACAACGGAAAGAAATATGGGCAAAAAATAAACTTAAGCACCCTTAGTAAATATACTGAATAATAACGGAATTTTAAAGTCAATGGTAAAAGATTACATCATACACGGACAAACAAATTGCAACTAATAAGGCTTTTAGAGCTCAAATAGGGAGGTATTATCTATCACAATAGAGCGTTAACAAATAGATTGTGAGTAATTTTGGATTTACAATACTTTTTTTTTGTGCACAACCTATTGAAAGTTGTACGTACATCATGGGTGAGGAGAATCAATGAAATCGAACAAAGCTAATAACTGCGTTATATACATGTGCAAATTATATGTGAAAAAATTTAAAGGGCTGATGAAATTTGTGGTCTTGGTTCCCTGGAAAATAGGAAATTGCCTCTCATAAATTATGAACGCTTCTGCTGGTCATAATATTCCACCGAAATAATGGATGCGACTACATATTTTGATGGTTAGAGTAAAAAATGGAGACGAAAAAATCATGAAGCTTGTTACAAGAATACGGCCCTAATCCCTAAAATATAGAGAGCTATATTTTACATGCTGCCAAACGCTTTGTCAACTTTCTAGCTTTCTCATTTACATTCGATTTTTCCCTGATTCTTTTTTTCCTGTTTCTTTGATATTCTTAAAAATTACAAAATCAATTATAATTGCGAGTTGAGATTTTTGAGTGACCGCGTTCCAAAAAATTTGCTGTAATTTACGAATGCAAGGAGAAAATTATTTAATTAATTAAAAGTGAATATTATTACTATTTCGAATAAACGAGAGCACAAGAATCGCCGGAACATATAAGATTTATTTTGCAAAAGCAACAATACGTATATGTGTGTGTTTTATGTGTGAAATAAGTGTCGTGGTTAATCTGAATGCCAAAATTTTCATATGAATCATTCGAAATCAGATTTTTATGATTAATCCAATACTTTAATTTGCGGATATGGTTTACGGTTAATCTAGCTAATAAAAAAATGTATGAAAATTGAATGTACTATTTTTAAAAATGAAATTTTTCTATATCACTTCAAACGATCCATTACTTTGAAAATACGAAAAAAACAAATATTCTTATAATACTTTTTGCATTAATTTTAATTTATTTATATAAAATATAATAAAATTCTTATTTTATTTTTTTCCTAAAGTTTCATTGTATGATAACATTAATAGGACGTTTCATTCTATTTTTCATAATTTTATCGATTATGAAAATGATTTCGAATTTTAATGTAGCTTTTCTTTAATTTTGACCCTATCACATTTCATTTCTTATAATGAAAGCGTTTTCTTAAATAATTTAAATTCTATCTTTTTAAATGTATTTATCAAGATAGAACGTTTCTACATTGTAACATGTATTCATCAACGATGCTGCCTGTGTGGCCACCGACGTCAATTGTTTATAATCTGTTACATCGTCATTTGGGCCATCTAGCGTAACAGCGACAATTAATCTGATTTAGCTGCTTCTTGCTCTTAGTTTTTAAATACTTATCACAATGTGCTACCACTTCATTTGTTTTATGGAAATTTATTTAAAATTTATCCTCCATACCGTGTGATACTGGTTGTGATATGATTTATGAGAAGATTATCACTCTCTCTTGGTTACTATTACGTTTCAATAGTAATTAAACTAATACTCATGAATTATGAGAAACATTTTTTTCATGCAGAAACTTGTTGCTACATTAATCATAATGAAGATAATTTGCAAGCACCTATTTCCATCATTTCATAGTTTATCGTAATCAGTTACCGAATCTTATATAGGATAGAAGTATAAACCCTGAAGAACATAATAAAATATTTATGTACTCTTAACTTAAAATTATATTGTAAAACTGTATATTGTTTGTATACAAAAAAAAATTAGATCAACTTCCTTAAAAAATAAATTTTTGGTTTCCATGCTATTTAACATAATTTATGTATATTATAATATAACATATGTATTGATTAATTTTATGTAATCTACAAATGAGGAACAAGTTTATTTTGTGTTACATAAAATATTTAGCATTAATGATGGGTTTGTTTGTTTCATTCATTATTTACCAAGTCAAATTATTTATTACAGTTTACATTGAATTTTTCTTATACGAAATAATTTTATTATAATTTCTCATGATTGATTAAATAGTTGTATTTTGTATATTTCATTCAAATTTTAAATCAAATACATTATGATAATACAAGCTTGTTGTTATATATAATACGAAACATGTACCATATTTTAATTAAATTTATCATATCTTAATTGTATGTATAAAAATTAATTAAAAAAAAAAATGTATATATTATTTAAGCAAAATTTAGTTTCATGCAATAACATTGACAAATATAGCAATTTCATTGCTTTATTCGAAAAAATATTGTTATTTTTGTATATACTAATGCCAAGGCATTTCAATAAATTAAATTGCTATATAATTATATTGTAATTACTACCAAAATATATTTTATACGACAGAATCCATAGAAAATGAATAAAGTATGTAGATTTAACAGATTTCCTTTTACATTAAGCAACGTGTAGCCAAATATATTTCATTATATTAACAATAATACGTGAAAACATATTTTGAAACAGTTTTATCTTTAATTTTAAATAATAAAGAAATACTTTTTTAATATTTAAATTTTTAAACAAATTTATCTTAATTTGTGCTTAAAAAAAGGTTTTGATTTTTTATTTGAAAGTTAAAATGATTAAATGCAATTTATTGACAGCAAATATTCTAATTAAATATATTATATTACAGTTTATAAGATTTTAAAATAAATCCATGACAATAAAATTAAATTAAAATATAATTAAAATGTAATTCATTGAAGAAGAAAATCTCATAAAGGGAAATTGGGAATATTAAACATCTTGATTTGATCGTGTATAAATATCAATGCTAGTATAGGCAAAATAATTCTACAATATTTTATCATTGATCTAATATTTCTAAAAAGCTATATGTAAAAAGCAAAAAATATATCGCAGATTGTTATATATTTGATTTATTAAACCATATTGTTAAAATATATTAATCTGTACAGAAAATATCGCTATATAATGTATCTTGAAATTCTATAAAAAGAGAAAATAATTTATAAATGACAATTACGTTAGAATGTTTAATCACGTCAAATTTATGTAGACAAAAATTGAAAAAATAAATACTACTATTACTCTATAAATGTTAATAAATATCGAACTAAATAATTAAACTCTCTATACCCCAGATTTTAAATTGTATTTATGGTATCGTCATTCTACTGACCTGCCACTCATGGCAACAACGTACAATTATGTAAAATTTGTGGATTGTCACGACATGTTTCTTGACAACTGATTTACGGTATAAGACGATATAGTTTTTCCTGCACGTGTTCTTCGAAACGATAGGCATTTACAAATAGATTTAATGAATAAATAAAAAATTTATCTCGGCAAAGAGAATTATGCAATTTTCATTAATTAATGTAAATAAACATATTTATAAAAAAAACTTACAATTTTTGTAACAATTACAATAAAAGTGCAACTAAAATAAATTGTTATGAAGTATTTCTTATACACAAGATTATTTTAATACAATAAAAAAATATCGACAAATTTAGTAACAATTTACTAATAGTTACTGTAAATAGTAAGTTAAAATATGAGGTAAAATTTACGAGAATCCCATTTTATCCAGTTTTAAAAATTTAAAAATATTAATTTAAAAATGTTAATTAATATTATTGAATTGCTGAAAATTAAATGTACAAATTTGTATTTATTTTTGTGTATATATACTAAGCAAATATATCTAATAACAGTACATTTAAGTTCAACGACACATTATTTGATGAGATTTTAACGTAAAAATTTAGTACATTCGCATTGATAAATTTATGCGAATATTTTTATTCTAATATATAAACGATTATAAAACTGAAGCTGATATACGCTATAATATTGTTTTTAGTATTGACATAATATAAAGTGCTGAGTAAATGATGGTAAGAACAGCCAGAACAAATTTTACATGGTTGCCACATTTCCTTATTTCCATGGAAATAGAATTAAATTTCTGAATAAAATTTAATACATTATCTAATAAATAAAAATGAAATGTGTATTTAACATATTTTTACTTTAATACCTTAAAACTAATTGTAAGAATAACTTTTAATGTAAATTAAATAAAGGATATCGTAAACAAAAATTATTATTTGAAAAAAGCATCATAAAAAAGCAAAATTATGTTAATTTTATTTAATAGTAAAGAATTTTCTGCAAAAATAAAAATAAGGCCTAATCTTTTAAGTTTAACAAGTAACCATTTTTTCTTTGTAATAAATTATAATACAGAATTTTTAAATTATCGATCTCTTCGCATAAAATAGTTTATCTTAATATTCAAGGGTATAATAATATTGAACTCAAATGATGCTTTAATTTTGGAAAAAATACTTAGTGGAGATAACAGAAGATTAAATGCGATAAATAATATTTTCCTTAATACGATTTAATAGTTGTATAATTATTGAATTTTATTTGATAGTTTAATTATAATATTATTTATTGGTTATATAATAATTTAATTTATTCGCGCCATATAACCAAAAGCTATTTTGTCCAGCAGTTTATGAAGGTGGGTACGTACGTACATACAAAGTGTGCATGTGCAATATTATGCAACACGAATTATACTTGTTCTTACAATTCTTTAAAAATTGAAATACTCGTATTAATATTGATGATTTATACTGATTTATTATATGATATTGACTGTATAAGAATTTATATGATTTGTATTTATCTTTCTTATATAATAATGAATTATCGCAAATATCCTTCCTAATAAATGTAGTACACGGTTTAATTGTAAGTAGGCATAAAATAATTAGACTTCATTTTAGAATTTAATTATTATTCAATTATATATATATGGATATATTCGTTTCATTTTTAGATAATTCTTGGAACATCTACCGGTTTCAAATCCCATTTTTGTCCAATTAATATTTGAAGCCGAATCCATTATTAGAGATGAAAAAAGCTACAGATAATATGTGCAGCATAAAAAGTATTAGCAAAATAATAATAATGAGATTTAACATTTTCTTGTCATTTGTTAGTATTTTGCATTGGAAGTAAGTCGATAAATTCTAGAGGGCTATAGGTAACAGGAGTTTGAACAGTATTCTTACATTTTCAAAAGAAAAAAAAAAGAAAAAAAATAGTAACTGGGTGTTCGTAAAGGCCATGTAGTAAGGAATCGTGCGGGAGAGAGAGAGAAAGAGAGAGTTACTAAGGAGTTCTTGACGCAAGAGGAGAGCCACAACTTGGTCAGTATTTTGGCAATATTAAGTATCCTTCCATTCGCCAATAACACGATGAAAATAAAACTAAAGAGCACACAATGTCGTTTGCTCGTGTTTGAAAACGATTCGCGGAGCCTTGGGAGGGAGGGCTGAGGCTAAGCTCACGGACATCCGGCAACGGCGCGCCTACGCGCGACTGGCCGATGGCGGGCTGCGGCGCGCGAGCTAAGAGCCAGCGAACCAGCCGTCGTCGCTCCCCACCATTGCCGGCCAAAAATCGCGCGAGTGCGGCCTCGCGGACCTCGTGGTGAAGCTCGAGCCTCCTTTCCTCAAGCACTGGGGATCAGACTCGGCCATATTGGAATCAATTGGATGTCTCTGTTACACAAGGGCTCAAGAGTAGCCAGGAAAATAACGTCCGATCCTCGATTAAGGGAGGACATATCACCGCCGACCGATACGCAGTCATGGAGAACACCTACAGCATAACCGTCACCAACAAGTTCTCGCTCGCCCTCGATGAAGATGAGGATCCTCTTGAGATTCTGAAGCTGCGCGAGCAAGAAAAGGAGGCTAAGAAGAAAGAGAGACTGAACGAGAAGGAGAATAAAAGCAAACAACAGCAAGATTCGAACCAGGCTCAACATAAAACTATCCAGCAGCAGCCGGCCAAGCAAAAGCCGAGGCTTAACAAGGAGAATCAGCAGCAGCCACCGAGGAATCAGGACGCCAAAAAGGATCAAGGTTAGTTAACTTGCGCCGCGCTCGCGCACGCACGCATGCACGCACGTACCCGCTCTGTCCCTCGTTCCGTTTCTCGCTCGCTTTCTTTTTCTTACCCTGTACAACCTATTCAATACTTCTTATTCATGTTATTTTCATGCATCGAAATTTATAATATACCATCTAGTTGAGCACGGCTCTTTTTTCCCCAAGCAATTGTCTACCTCATGATAGGAGTGTGCGTTCTAGCATTTATAGATGGCCTTGTACCACTGGTCTTGCCGTTAATTTTTCGTTTGTGCGCGTGGCCATGAGGCCTTTAAAAGCCGGCTCGGTCCGTACGACAAGTAATCCCGAAACCGACGGAACAAAAACAAGATTTTCATCCTCGGTTACCATTAAAATGTAAGCTTTTTATGCGTAATTTGTCTCGAATAATTGCAAAATGTTAAGAGTTTTGAATATAGATTTAAGGTAAATCTACTTTTTAATTTTATCCTTCGACACTTCCACAGACGGTACACTCGCAGTGAGGGTGAGAACGAGAATAAGAACGACAAAGAGAGAAAGAGAGAGATAGAAAGACAGACAGACAAATAGAGAAAAAAGAATTGTTGCATGCGTGTAGGTTTAATATATGTTGTCAAAAGATTTCGAGTGGATAAAAATATATAATTTTCAAGGAAATTTATTAGAGACAACAAAATTCTAACACTAAATATATTTTTATCATACTCCCATCATTGTCATTCACTCATAATACTATATATATATATATATATATATATATATATATTATAATTTTAGATCTTTAAATAGCTTGTATTTATACCCTTTTAGATTTCTTGTTTTCACTTGTAGCATATATTTCTTATTATACTATAACATCAAAGTATATATGACATTTCTTCATTTTAGGAGAAAAGAAACCTATTCAGCAAAGGTATGGAGGCGAGCGCAATGTGAAGTTTTCAACCGAATCAAGAGAAGAGCATAACAACAGACGTAATCGAGAAGATGGTGAACAACGACCTCCACGTATTCAGAATGACTTTAGACGAGGTCCACCTGGGTAAGTTCATTTACTTCAATATTGATTATTTCAATGTGCTTGATAAAAGAAATTCTATTGTTAGATTGATATTTGTGATGTTTTTTAGTTTAAATACTGAATATCCAATATTGATTGATTTTCACTAAAATTGTAAAGTTGATTTCTACATAAAACCATTGACATTTTTTAAAAATATCAGTTGATAAGATTAGTTATATTGCAATATTGTATATCAGTATCAATTATTCAATTAGAATGTTTTAAACGAAGTGAACATTTATTACTAATATATTTGTAATTATTCTATAAATCCTTTCAGTTATAGTATATGGTATCATTATTATGTAATACTCATATAAATTGTAAGTCACACAAAATGAAAAATTAAGTACTGTTTGTTACTTTATCAACTATAAGATTTAATTTGTTTTAAATGGAATATAAATTTACTAAAATATCTTTTGTTCAGAAAAAAATATAATTTTTAAATAATGATTTTTACATTCAAAATTAATTTGGAAATTTATTTACAAATATCTATAAAAATTACAATATAAAATTCAGGTAATTGGAGTGAAAAATCCTTAACTAATATTTTTTTCGTGTTTGATGCTCCATTTTGAGGTTAAGTAGTCCTTTGTACCTCATTACACTACGCCATGCTATTCAATTTTATATTATATATTTAATCATTAACCGTAATTTAAAATATGAATAAAGAATATTAGTATTTTAATACCAATAAGCTTCTATATAATTATATTTTAGAGAAGGACGTGAGCCACGTGAGTCACGTGAGCCCCGTGAGCCCCGTGAACCTCGTGAGCCACGTGAACCACGGGAACAGCGTGAGCCCCGTGAATATCGCAATTCGGGTGATCGCCCGGAATTTGGGGATCGACGTTTAGGACGTGGCGGCGGAGGTAGTGGCGGTCGAGGCATGGGTCGTGGTGGTAGAGGTGGTTTCCGTGGTGGAAGGGGTGGATTTGACAATCGCGGCAAGCGCGAGTTCGATCGTCAATCCGGATCAGAAAAGACGTATGTATATGCGCTATTTTGACATTTAGCTTTGTTCATTTCCTGGTTTTACAAATTTGTAACTTTCATTAAAATTGCTAGAATATACATTACGTGACTGTGGTAACATTGACATTTATTTCTATCAATTTGTACTATAATTATATTATTGATTATCTTTTTTTGTTAGTTTTCTGAATTTAGCAAAATTGTTCAAAAGGATGCTTATTTGTAATATATCATATTTAAGAAATAATTAATATATCTACAAAAATTTAACAATTTCGAACAATGATGAAATAATATAAAAATGTAATAGCAGTAAATTAACATTAATTTGTCATCGAATGATGAAAAAAATATTTATTTTCAATTAATAATTTGTTGTCATATTGAATAAGAGTCACTGCAGTAATTGTATATGTAGCTTCATTAATGTCTGTATAACTGATTGTCTACTATATTTTCTTGCATACATAAAAAAGGCAACAGAGGTAAGCATTTTGCCCATTTCAATTATATATTGCATGCTTTTATATTTATTTCTTTTTCATTTTTCATTATAATTTACTCATCATTAGCAGATTATTATTTATTGTTGTCCAATATCTTCAAGAAAGAAGCATATAGTTTTTTCTAAAGTCTATGAGATTGCAGTAGTCAATTTCATACATTACAGTTAATAATGTAAGCAGGTATGGTTACAGCGGAGTAAAATCAGTTGACAAGAAGGATGGCGCTGGCAGCCATAACTGGGGCACTCACATTGACGAAATAGAGTAAGAAAGCTTTGCTTTATTTCTTTTTATGTACATTTTTTACTCTATGTGGTGAACAAAATTATACAATTGAAAAAAATTTTTTCTAATTGTATACAAATATTTTAAGAACTATATTTGCTCTTGTTAATAAAAAATTATAAAACTTATATTTTATTTAATGAATTGGACTTATAAATATTAAACCTTTTTTTTATTTAATAATTATTATCATTGTTTATGCCTTCACTAGTTGCTTCTTAAATATAAGTGATTTTATTACAATATATTTCAATCATGCTATTATTTAATGTACAGCTTTATATGTTAATCAATAGCACAATAATACACTTGCTAAAGTAATTTATTTTATGTTTTATAATTAAATAATATTTGTTATATATATATATGTATATATATTTTTTTAATATCAAAATATGGTAAATGAATGCATTTACAATTTCATAACAGTTAACCTTAAAATAGATTGAAATTATAATTACTTAGTTGGAGATTCTTAATTTTGTAATAAGCTTTAGATAGACTTGCACAATCTAATATATATAAATGAAATTATATTAGTTTGGGTTATATTTTCTGTAATTTGCTGGTAGCATTTGAAAGTAACCAATAAAAATAACGAAAATGTGTATGTATAATATTGATTGTTCCTTCATTTATTGTAAGATAATTCGGTTAGTTTATTGATCAGTTATTAACCTTTTTATATTATTTCAAATTTAAAGTATAAAGTATATAAAGGGTTGTTTTTTAATATTTTAAGAATTAGATATATTACATCTGTCGATTTAACACGAATTATAAACATAATAGTAGGGTTTAATAATCAAAAGAAATGTATAGGCATATCAGATAGATAAGACTTATGGTCGATACATAATGTAAGATTAAAATTGAGGTTATTGTGAAGGTTGTCTAAGTAAGGAATAGGGTTAAAAATAAGGGTGTGTAATAATTGACACGTGGGTCAAGCGTAGCTCGATTCTATTTGCAGGGAGGGCCTAAACCAATCGGAAGACTGGGTCGACGAGAAGCCCGATGTGGATGGTACGGCGAATCCAAATGACAGCAAGGAAAGTGCAGGTAGTGGTAGTGCCGGTGGTGAGGGTACCGAGGGTGCAGCCGCCGAGGACAAGCCCGCAGAGGAAGAAGTACGTGAGCTGACACTCGATGAATGGAAGGCGCAGCGTCAGAATCGCGCCAAACCCCAGTATAATTTGCGTAAGGCTGGTGAGGGCGAGGACCTCTCACGTTGGAAGAAGATGTATGCCCTCGAACGCAAGAAGGAAGGTGCTGAGGAAGAGGAGGAGGAGGAGGATGAGTACGATGCGGTCGAGTATCCACAACGCGTCGGCCGTCAGAAACATGTCCTTGACATTGAAATACAGTTTAGCGATTCAAGACGTAGTGTCGGCGGCAGAGGTGGAAGGGGAGGACGTGGCGCACGAGGTGATCGCGCCAACGGTCGTGGATATGGCAATCGTGGACCGCCGCGAGGTGGTGGATCCGATGCCCCTGGCGAAGTTCGCGTCGTAAGTGCCCTCTTAAACTCTCTTGATAATTGCAATTGGAAAAGTTCTGTTATATTTTCTTATGTTATACTAAATTGCATTTGACTTGATTTGTATTGTAATTAAGGAACAGCAATTCTTGACAATAACATTGAGATTGAAAGGACGGTAAAATGAATCCATTGAAATTAGGGATGTTAGTAAAAATATTTTTGCTTTACATTACATAAAATTAGAATTTGTATTGAATAAGTCAAAATTTGCAATAAATCATACTATTAAGACAGCTTCTGTTGATATCTACAATTGATGACAAGATTACTATATAATACCAATTTGAAAATCTTGTTTCAAACTAGAGTAATATTAAGTTCATTATTTGTTTTTTATATTTTCAGGCTCCGGCTGAACAAAGGTCGCCACGCGAACGTCAAAATGCCCCCAAGGTTGATGATGAGCACGACTTTCCTTCGTTGGGTTAAGAGGTCGATTACAGTGATTTAACAACCCAAAACATATACCACCGCTGTTTAATCAAAAAATGAAAAATGAAAAAAATACCACTGTTCCAACCACAATCGACACTTCAGTTCTCCGATTATCATTAATATTGCTACAGTTGCTGCTATCGCTATTCCCGTTGCTGCTGCTATTAGCGATTTCGTTTTCACAACATCGTTTTTAAGACATTAAAAAGAAAAAAAAACAAATAAGATAATTACCTACTTTACCGTTACAAATAAACTCGCAGATGAAAGTTACGTACATATTCGGTTAAGAATAGGGAGAGAAAATCGAAATAATAAATAAATCTCTTAACTGCTTTATTTTTTTTAACAAAGCAAAGTTTGTTTGTACAATTAATTAGTATTTAACAATACGTAAAAAGCAGAATAAGAGATTTCGTGTTGCCCTCTTAATTATATTTTGTCAATACGTGATTAATATCGATAGACGGTCTACACTAGAGGAGATCAATAATGATACTGCCTTGACGATTTATTTGCATTATCGACACTGTGCAGTAAAATACTTCCTTCTAGATAATAAATTTTTAAAACCTTTGTTTTATTATTTTTATATGGTACATTTTACACTCACGTGAAGTGGGTAAAGAATGCATAATAAAAAGAGGACGATTGAAATAAATGGGTTGGACGGGAGTGGGAAAGGGCGGGGGGGCGGAATAAGACCGAATAGGAGAGCTTTGCAAAAATATGTATTGAATTATTGGCTTTCTCCGATATTGTAATTTAAAAACTAGAGGTCGACAAAAACATTAAAATTTTTTTATAATGGTTTTGTCGTATTGCGAGTATTTTGCGATGTATTATTTTCTCTGTCATAGTAAATAAAAGAGTTCGTGTTGTCGATAGATCAATCTTGTCAATGCTCTGCAACGACACGAGTTCTGGATCTCGAAAAGACGAAGAAAATACGCTACCCAGTGACAGAAAAGATTGAGATAAATTACAGTAACGAGGTACAAGTGGTACACAAGAAAAAATACACATTAAGTTCAAAATCATCATTGATTATATGTTAAACTTGCATCGATCGATTGTCATATACATATTTCAAAGTATCGAAATACCCTATATTAGTAATTCACGACGTTTGTTATATTATTACTTTAAAAGTAAAGATAAAAATAGCTCAAAAAGTTTTAAAAAGTCTTAATGCAAACCCCAATCTCCTTCACTGAGATGGATAATGTTATGAAATATTTCAAGATTAGATAAGTGTAAATAACGATATTTTCAAGAAATAAATTGAGACAAAAACTATACTAGATACGTTGAAAGTTTAAAAAAGAAAAAGCAAACAAAAGGTTTTCAATTAAGTCTGAAAAAAATGTTTCTTGTATAATTTGTAATTCTTACATTTGCTATATTCAATATGCAGGTTGTAGATTTTCTCATCCTTTTCTTCTCGCAAAGCAAAACAAAAAGAAAAAGAAGAGCATAGTAGTAGCTGTACGTACCTGAAAAGTAACGATAAATGCAATGAAGATAATCGTATACAAAATTTAATAAAAAAAAATAAAATAAATAAGGACTACACGTTCATTGAATTTTTCTTGGTAAGGAATAGCGATTTGAATCGAATCAGAAAAAATGAAAAAAATTAGTGATCATTCAAATGTAACGATAATTTTATATTAAGTACCCTTCAAATAAAGAGAAGGAAAAAATATATAAGTGAAAGAAAATTATCAGCTGAGGCCAATTGGAGATGCATGGCACGTATTCCTTTCGGTTCGATTTCCCTCCGTTATTTTCGTTTCTTCATTTCCTATAGGAATGACCGATGTAACATTTTTACTTGCAATTTCTAATAATTTTTTGTTGTACTTTTCTTATTTATTTTTTTTAAAGAAATGCGAAAAAACTCGCGGTGGAATTTACAATGAAATTCCTTTAGCATTTACGATGTTTGCAGACAAAATGGAACAAGACTTCAGTTTTCAGATTGCATTACAAGAGCTTATATATAGATAAAATTAATCTTTTATATTTTCTGTTCATTTACTATTTTGAATTCTGTAATTGAAAATTTAAATAATTTGAAATAATTGAATTTTATATTACTTATGTACAAATTTCAAATATTTTTAGTAATAGAACAATATAGTTTTCTTTTATTTTCAAATGTGGTTTTAAAAATTTTCATCGTAACATATTTTTGATAAATAATTTCTTATAAAATACAAATATTTAGTAAAGTTGGTAAGCAATAATATATTTATTTATTTACACATGAAAATATTAGTATTTTACAACAGTAAATTTAAAAGAATCGTAAATTTCCATAAGTAAAATTTTGAATGTTATTTATTTTTATTAGAATAATTGTACTTCCATACAGGAATTATATTCATTTTGTTTTTTACAAATTTTTTTTTAATTTTGATTGGATTTTCAAAACTTCTAATTGGAATAAATAGTACATTAAATGATATATGCATATACATTAAATATATTCATTTTTAAAAAAAGTTTCTAAGATCTATTTCCAATTATTTAAATATAATTTTTATTATTTTTAAATATATAATTTAAAGTGTAATTTGACTATCATGACTATGATCCATTTAAATTTATATATTTTAGTTATATATTAAAATGCTTGAGCTGGTTATCTAAAAAAATTAAGGTGATAATAAAAAAAATATTTAAATTTATTAAGATAAAGATTTTAAATTAACAAGAGAATTTGTATTGTATGTTTTAGTCATGCAAATTTCAACATAAATAAAATATTAAATTTTAATTTCATGAGCAAATTAAAAAATTTAAGTGTTATAAATTAATAATTTAGTTGATTTTAATGGAGCGTATAAAATAAATTTAATTGAATATTTTTTAAATTCACTTTTAGTTATCGTTTTTATATAATTGTATTAAATAGTTGTTTATATTTTTTAAATCGCGTGATAAGCAAAAAGAGTATTATTAAAAAGAATCATTTAAAACATTTTGTTACTGATAACAAAACTAATGTTGAATTTACGTGAACAAGTATATATATGTTATTTTTGTGGGATAAATTAATTTTTATTTTCATTATAAGTCAGAAATAATGTGTGAACTTATATCATAGTTATCTAACCTCTAATAATGTTCAAATAAAATGATATATATTTTTTTCATAATTTACTTTTGCTGTTATGTATTTTATTTTATTAGTGACATGAAATTATAAATATATTAAACAGGTGAAATAAATTTATTATATTCTATTATACTGTACTTAAAAATGAAAGACATATTTCTTTGTTCTTTATCATAATTAATATTAATATAGATGAATGGTATTGTAAAAATGAACGATTTTGAAATATTTCTTTCAATAATATAATTCGAAAACCTATTTAAGTATATAATTGTTTTACTTACCAAAAATATTTACTTTCAAATAAAATATGGTAATTTTAAAGATTAAATTATTTCTTAAAAATTATGCAATAGTTATATATATTAAAAAATATGAAGTGCATAATTAATTTTGTTTCTGTATTAAACAAAATTTATATTTGAATAAACGTCAATGTTTTTCTTTGTAATAGAATAAGAGTTAAATAGAATTTACCAATGCAGTCATATTTCCTAAATTATGAAATTGTAGAGTAGTGTTTTACCATTTATATATTTTGTATAGTTAGAATGTAAGAATATTAGGATTGGAGGCATTACCAAGTATGCTTTATTTTTTAAATATAATATTTGACATTTTCTTTTAACACAATTAATTTTAATAATATACACTATCGTACAATCATTACGCTGTATTATTACTAATATCAATTTTATCGAAGGAAAATAAAACAGTAAGAAATAATAAGCCCAGGGAGGCTATAAAACATGAGATGTATATATTAATTAATATTCGTTAAAGTAGTTTTCTGCCCGTATTGACGTTGCATTCAGATTCATCTCTATTGTTTATCTACATTTCATTTCACACGCGGATTCCTGATGGCGTGAGAGAGAAACAATTATAGAGCGCGGAAGAGGCTGTGATGCTGAAGAGAAGGATGGGTCATGAAGAATCAGACACAAAACCGCCGTGGCATTAAGCTTCATAGTATTTATGTGCGTTCTCCGACAAAGTGCTGAGGGAATGGAATTGAGAATTAGTTTTATTATTCTGTCGAGGGTAGAAAACAAAACACCGGAAATGCAAGGTTAATTATTCTCAAATCTCCATCAACTAACATATCGTCAACGCTTCATGAAAGCTCTAAGTGCAGTTAACATTTGGTGTTTCGAAACATTCGAGAGACTTTACATTCGGAAGATGTTATCGCTTATGGGAACAACTATAAAAAAAATAATTAGGTCTACTTTTAAATCGTATTAGTATAAGTTAGCGACTTTATTGATATTATTCTTTATTATCAATATATACATATTACGATAATTGATTAACTGCTTTTATGGTTAGTTTAATTTTTACCATAATAATGAGTGTTTTGATTTTAAGCAGCTGAAAGTTAAATATCGCTATGATTTATTCATTTGTATCTATATTATTATTTAAGTTGTGCTAGGAATTTGAGAATTGATTACATCATTTACACAATAAAGAAGCTCTTCCATATTTCCCGCAATATCCAATTAAAATACTTGGTCATATTCCACTTCTTTTAAGCCTAGAAATTATGTCACCTTTTCACACTTGTCTTCGATTAACCCAAAGTTTTTATCTTTCTATTTTTCTGTCTAAAGATATACTAATTTATTTTTTAGATCCTATCTCAAACTTTTGTCAATCTTAATTTGCGAAATTAGATTACTTTTATTATAATATTATATTCATTAAATTATGAGAGTTTATCTAATTCATGACTAGATCATATTCTATGCGCTCCGCTTTTCTTTAGTAAAAGTAAATTCTAAACATATTATATTAGAACTATTTTCACTATTTATTAATAAAATATCTACAAATTTATTATATTTACCAATAAATGAATATGATTTAATTTCGAATCTAATACGTTTAAAATTCTATACATTCAACAGTATCAAAATATATTTTTTAATTATACCAAATTTTATCTTTTTCTATGTAAAGATTGAAAGAAACTTCGTTTTATACTTGTCTAATTATTATTGAAATTTAAATTATCTTTTACTAATAAAATTTCGAATAAAGAAATTCGTAATGTTCTGATATTTATTTTGGAAATATAAACTATTTACTTACAATTTACACTTATTTATATGGTTTCTTATGTTAAATTCTAGATAAACTAAGCGTGTTTATCAATTGTAATATTTTTAATTAAATTGAAGAATTAAGGAATTCTTCAAAAAATCAAATCATTCTGTTTGTATCTTTAGTAAATATATAATATAAGATATTGAATAGATAATACTAAATAATTAATAGAATTAATAAAATAAAATTCAAAGTATTTTTGAAAAGATTAAAAAAAGAAACAAGATTATATCATCATACTGCTTTAAATGGGCGCAGAGAATTATTGCATCTTATTTGTATAATTAAACTAGATTGTTTGTTTACATAGTAATATTTCTTTACTTAAATGAATCAGTCTTAGATATATAAAGCCTCTAATGGAAATGCGATTTCTTATATGAGAAACCAAGAGAGTAAGATATATATATATATATATAGAGAGAGAGAGAGAGAGAGGGAGGGAGAGAGTAAAGATAACATCGATTTTATTAATAGTGTTTGAAATGAGAAAATAATATTTGGAATAACGTAATTGGTTATTGTAACGATACTTTTTTTTAATTGTATCAGTTTATTATACAATGGATTACAATGTATCTTGGATAAAGACAATTTAATAAAATATCATTTTGATATGTCTATTTGGCAATTTAAAACTATCAACAATAAAATACTAAAAAGATGTCTGGTTTATAAAAATATTTAATCATTGATTTTTATTTTTTGTATTAAATTAGAAATAACTTTGATTTATAGAAACATAAATATTCAATTAGGTTCTTAAAAATGTTTTATTGAATATTAATAAGATATTACTAGAAATAAAGACGTATAAATATATATAGACATATTTTATGTTTACACTATACTATACAAAAAATTCAACACATTTAAAAAGCTTGGGGTAAAGTATTACAGCTTGTAATAATGAAATAAATATTTAACGAATATAAGATTTGAAAATCTTTCCAAATTTTATATCAATTAAGCATTTATTGAAAAGTAATTCAATTATTGTAATGATGATCGACTTATTGAAACAATTCAATTATATATGTTTAGAACGTATCGAAGCAATTAAATCCTTCAATATTCCGATTTTATTTTGAAGTTTTTTAATTTAATAAAATTAATGGAAGTTCGGATAATGTTAGAATAATCAATTTTAATTATAATTGATCTTATTGTGATATGTTAACATGAGTAACCTATTACCATGAGGTATACTACATAGTAATTGTAAATTTTAACAAATTCGCAAACGTCTACGTATCACGCATCCATATCGTATATATTTTTAAATGTTTGTTTGTCTTTGGAACAATTAATTAATTAATTAATTAGGTG